AGATCAAGTCTAATTTGGTATTACACCTTGTTGGAAAATTGACTAGGTTACTATGACTAAGTGAATTTAGGAAGCTGTAGTCACAAGAGTTAAAGTCACCGCGAACAATAGACAGTGAACCAAACATTATTGGAGCAGAAAATCCCGTGAATTTGTCAATCAATGTAGATAATTCAGAAAAGCTATAATCGGAAGTAATGTAAACATTAGTAATGGAAGTGAATTCAAGATTATGTTAATGTTTTGGATGATACCTTGTTGTGACCAAGTGGTGGGGTTGCGCGCATGGGTATAATGAATACTGAGACTCAATAGACACCTCAACCGAATACCTTTACGACTGACCTCCCTCACTACTTCTGCTTCACTCAGCCGCGGAAAAATCAGAAGACAAAGACGGCCTGTGACTGCAAGAACAGCGACAACTTTTATTAGGCAAACTACATGACATGTATGTATTTACAAAACTCTCAGAAAGTGAAGCCATAAATGAACCAATCGGATTTCTTGTGTGAGGTCGAACTTCTCCAATCAGGTTCTTATGTCAGCGCATGCATAAATCATGACTTGTAAATAACTCCCCTATTGGCTGCTTTTTGTCGCTACGTATCACACCTAACAGGTATACAGTCTACATTGTCATTAGAATAGGACAAATGTGTATAATTTGATAAACAACATTGAACGTTGATAAAGGTAGCTACATCTCCACCACATTTTTTCACAGAACTATACCGTGCTCACTCATAAAGGAACAAATCAGCTTCAAAGCACATTATCCAGACCAAAAGATGCAACAACCAAAGAAGACAAACCGAATATCATTTACAAAATTGACTGGAATAACCAACTGTAGTCAACACACCACATTGGACAAAGCGGCCTCCGTCTTCGCCTTCGTCTACGTGAACACCAATTGGCTATTAAACATCACACACGACATCTCATCACTCATTTCAATGCACGTGGATAACACAAATATGGACATGAATTCAATTTCGACAATGTAGAAATGTTGGATGGAGAGAGGAAACACAAAGAATATCATCAGAGAATTCCTAGAAACTTGGCATTCATATCAGTCAGTTAGTCAGCAATCAACAGATGTGTATACACATAGACCCAATCTATCAGGCAATAAGAAGGAGGGATAAACGACAGAAAGGTGAGAGGTGAAGCAGAGGAACAGCCAGCCAACAGGAAAGTCTATGCAGTCAGCCAATGACACAACAATTGAAGGAAACAAACAATCACAGACCACATCGTCAGAGCAAGCTACTAAATCACTCACGGAGAGATGTTGACAACTCACTACTTCATAGTGAAGTTAGTGCTGATGATGTCGTTCAGGAGAAAGTCGGTGAAAGTGTCACGACTAAACAACCTAGCTCCCCACAGAACACAATACAACCAAAAGTAAAGTCTACTGTCTCCTGAAGTTCGCTCTGGTCATTAAAGGTAGACGATATGCTATGGCTTCAAGTGTTTGATTACGGTCGCCTTTCTAGTACAAACGGCGTTTAGTAGTATGATCGCATGAGCAACTAAGAAGTCAGGTGTTGAGTTTTAGACAGGAGTGGAAAGTCAGTTGAATGTGGTTGTAAACCTTCATAGACTGAGACGACTGGGAAATGTGTTATGGATCCCCAACATTCATCCGCCTCGTCGCACAATGTTGGTCGAAGCAGATTCAAGCTGGAAAAAGCTCGTGGTGGCTAAAGTAGAACATCACATCAATGCATGAAGTCCTTAACTATTCCCTAAAGTCATATAGGTCAATTAAATCTAGCCGGTTGGAGTCCGGCAGGACAATAGACACCAGTGGTTAGGAAACTCTAAGTGATATGGTTTCGATTCGATGTCAGTGGCGCAAATGTATCTACACTTCATCCTAACCGCTATACAGAATTCAGCATTTTAGTCATTCCTCCTTCTTCTCTTCCTTTATGTTCCATCTTATTGTCTTGTCATTTCATGTTCTGGCAACTTGAATCGTTGTGCAGTAACGCCTGGTCTTCATATCGATATCAAGGATGATGATGAGCAGGTAGCAAGTGGGTAGACACAATCAAAACAATAGTCTGTATGCCTCTTAATGTCAGACGGTTAACAGAATTCACTAGAACGACTTCAGATTGATTCTCTTTTTACCCGACGATATTCATTATCAGTAAGTGTCACGAAGCTGAACTTCGAATTGTGTAGTCCTGAGCACCCTAGTTCCAAATTTTTTCATGTAGCCTACAAAAACTGTAATCAGTTAGGCAATCAATTTTTAAATCCTGTACGCTTTCTATGACATCCACCGCACCACTTCAGATGTCTATAAGGAGCTGCTTGATTTCATGACGATTAGAAATCACCAAGGAAATCATTTTTATTATCATATTATTATTTGTCCTTTGCGTTCCTAGTGAACCACTGAGCTTCAGTAGCACGTTGCCATTTCACTCACTTCTCTGCGATCTTCTTAACCTGACTGTCGCGACTGCCCAAGATATTCATTTCTTCCTTACATGATCTCCTCCAGTGCTACCCACATACCTCCAACTCATCGTTTCCCATTTGACTTCCAAATGAGTGTCTGGTCTGGTGCGTGATGTCGCCGAATGGTCTCCTCAATCTATGTCCAATCCATTCCATCTCCACTTCCTTTCAGTCCACATTTGTTAGGTGATAGCTTCTTGGTTGGTTCGTTGCTAGGCCACAGTTACCCATTGCTCATTCCTTCTGGCCATCTCATCTCATATCATCTCTTCTCGTTTTCAGTATCGAGTGAGCATAGGCGTAGCCTGCAGCTGTTCATGTATGTCTATAGTCCTTTTGGAAATGCTTTTGATAACACACCAACTCTCTCAACCATCACATAGAAGCACTGACTTCACTGACCTAGCATTGAAAATCCGGATCTTATTCACTCTCTATGTTGAGTGCAGTGCAGTAGATCTTCACACTGATCTCTACAGATTAGTGAAAGCAGGCCTGTCTCGCTGTCTTCCCGATCCTGGGATTGACATCCTCATCATGTGTGCCTGTGCCACCTGTAGTTGCCACCATCCTGAATAGGTAGGTGGAAGAGACTACTTCCTTCAAATTTCTCCCGTCCATGGTGACTGATGCTTGTTATTGTTGTTGTCGTCGTTGTTGGTTAGGTATCTTCATCACCTCTATCTTCTTCATGTTCACTTGAAGGAAATGGCGTCTTCTCTACCCTGCCTCTTCTCCCAACTTCTTCCTTCTTGTCTATAGATCTTCGAGTTTGTGCTACATAAGACATCAGACATAAATCATCATTGGCGAAATCAAGATCTCCCAGGATCTTTTCATCGTTCCAGCTAGCCTATGCACCTCTCCTCCCTCCTCACAGTTGCTTTCTTTCATGATCCAGTCTAGTCTAGTCGATCACAGTCAGGAAGACTGATGGGTAATAGTAGGTGGCAGCGTTGTCTTGTCTTACTCCCATCTTCACTTCAAACGTGTCACCCAACTTTCCACTGTCAGTCACTCGGCATGTAGCATCATCATCATATAGCATAGAGCTGCTGTTCAATGAGGTTCATCAAGTTTTGTCGCACTAAAACCGTAGTGTTGAAGCAACTGCTGAACAAATTACTCCTCGGTAGACGCCTCAATCCAAGGCCTCTTCGAAATCGATGAAGTTGAGTTTGAGTTGAGTTCTGATATTCTATACTCTGTTCCATGATGATGCGTAGTGTGGCGTTGTAATTCCATCCACACACTGATTTGTTCTTCCTGAAGCCAGTCAGTCAGTCAGTCAGTCAGTCAGTCAGTCAGTCAGCCACCAGCCAGCCAGCCAGTCTGTTCCGGTTGTAGTTTTGAATGCAGAGCATGTTTTAGTCTCTCGAGGATGATGTCGCTTAATATTTCACTTGGTGTGTACAGATGTGGAGCGTGATTCCACACCAGTTGTTGAAAAGTCATTGGTCTTCCTTGTTTGTGAGTTTGACAAGGTAGCCCTTCTTCAAACCAGTTGAACAGGTACTCTTCCTTCCTTCGTTCCTTCCTTGCGAACCTTCTGTAGTAGTGATGTGGTGTGGTGTGAGCATGTCGGCTGTTGTCTGTGTGTCTGTTTTCAGTGCTTCAGTAGGGATTCGATGTGGTCGTGCTGCTTCGCTGGATTTCACCAGCTTTATGGCATTCATAACTTCACTTCCGCTTTTGTTGGATGGTTTGTTTTCACTGATATTTCTGTGACTGGTATGCTGATGGTATTTCTGGATGAGTTGCAGGTGGTGGTCAATTCAAGAGTTTTTGAAGTGGTCATCCCATCGATTCCTTTGTTACTCCTCTCTGGTAACCAGGTTTCCTTCACCATGTCTTATCGATTTCATCTGTGTTGATCTTTTTCCAGATTCATAGTGTAATGATTCAATTTTTACAAGCTATTTCAAGTTCTTTTGAGTAACCGTGATCAGCTTTGTCAAACATGTTGAATGAGATGAATGGAAAGTTCCCTATATTATCGTATGATGATTATTTCCGCTTCTCATCGAAAAACACAGGATACCGATTCAAACCTACTATGTAAATCTTTTCCAAAACTAGAACAGTTATAATCAATGGATCTATGAACTTCTACAGACACAATTTTGGAAGAATATACGTGTATTGATTCATCACGGGAGTGCAAGCCAATTTCATGTTATCTAGTCATGAGTGCAGACCTAATCCTAGGAAGCTCAGCATCTCAGTGCACATTAGTACATATTATTTGGTTGGAGGCAATCGGCAGGAAGCCCTGGACCTAGGTTCCGTGCTTTTCGGCACCCATCAGCAAGGCGCATCTGCAGCCGTGACTGAGTTGATGTCCCAGCTGAGATTGGGACCCGCGTCACGTGTTTAACGCTTTTCCAAAAGTTAAATTATATTCAAAGTACATTGAAATATATATCAGTGATAATAATAATAATAATAATATAATATAATAATAATTAATATAATATAGTAACAATAATATTCACTGACAGAGTTTGACTGAACACTTCTGTCGTTTACAAGTAGAAGACACGGGTCCATAGTTAATGTAGATTTTTAGCTTGATAGGTTGACAGTACTTTGGAAATCTTCCTCATGTTTTTCACTCAAACGAGTTCTGACAATCAGTTCGTGTAATAATGTACCAAGGATAGAACCAAGATATGGTGCTACAATTGGTATCCAGAAGTAGTAATTATGCGTTTTGAATACACTTATACCCCATCCTGTTAGAAGAAAAAAGAAGTAGGCGGAAACACAATACAAACTAAACTAAGTAACATGGAAACAAAGATTACTATTTATATAGATGTCAGCAAAATATGACAGTATCCTGTCATAAAGCTTCCTTTATCAAACCAGAAGTGATGTGTAACCGTACAGACATAATTGTGTCTCCCAACCAAACCGCTACACTTTTGCTTAACTGATCAGCAAAGATTTGTTATATATGTGTAAGGCATATTCCACCTGTAAAACGCCCCGTGCATAATTTTCACTGAATAATATGAGCTACTAACTATTAAATTAAGTAGGTAGTTTCAAATTGATCAAAATTTAAAACCATGGTAATTGCAGTGGCTGGTTTGGTCATGATCTGTGAGAAATTGGGTAGATTTAGTCTTGAAATACATTTTCTACTATGGGAGAAAATGTTACATGATTAAACCATGAAACATAACGTCATAGTGACCTAGTGGGTAACTCTCTGGCGTTTGAAACAATGGGTACGAGGTTCAAGTCTCTACTACATCCACTGGCGTGCAGGTACAACCAGCTGATAAGTTCAGACTGGAATGCGCCACTCCACTGATAACTGCGAATAAGTCAGCTATAAGGAGAAAGTTATCCTAAAAATAGTTATCTAAATGCATACTTTCAGAGGGTCCAAACCAGGATATAAGTAACTGTCCCATAAACGCACGTTTTCAGTTATTCCCCAGCTTATGTCAACCCGTGATGAAAAAATGCCAATCAATTATACTGATTTGGATGGTAATGGTGATGGTGACATACATAACTCATTGAAAAACATGACTGAAACGAGATCTTATGATAGCACGATGTCTAAATGGTCATGGTAGACAATATGCGAGTTGATCCCTACTTGGAATTCAATATTGAGTCATGCATACAACCTACTTTAGGAGATAAAAGCTAATTGAGCATTGGTGACGTTATGTACATCATCAAGTTATATTATTCCATTCATATTTCATGTTTTTAAGTGATTGTTTTATTGTCTGAATGTTGTAATCTATCCTGGAATGTTGTGGAATATATTCAATTGACTGGATCTTGGGGATAGACACCGTTTAGTTATCCTGAATCATGAGCATCAAAATGGTGATCCGAAGTGATTTCCATCCTTAAATAAGTATGTCAGTAAGTTTTAAAAACATATATACATATAACGTCGCCTGGTTAACTAGTTCACTAGTTACTAGCCAGTCCTAAGCCCGGGTAAACAGGGAAGGTTGGGCATAGGGCTAGCAACCCCCACACCGTAAAACAAATCTAACCACTAAAGAAACTTCAAAGCACAAACAAAATATAAAAAATAAAAGCAAAATTATTCCTAGCTGGAATCGGAGAGACGAAATGACGCCACTTGGTGAAAGCCTTCGGGAAGCCAATTGGCCGATGTGTCTTCTCTCCCCCGATGACAACGAAAGTAAACGTGGGGACATGGAATGTCCGCACGATGTTTGAACCCAGTAAGGCAGCCCAGATTGCAAATGAGGTGAAGAGGTATCACATTGAAGTGCTTGGAATATGCGAAAGCAGATGGAATGGAAGTGGACTCTCCAAACTGTCAACTGGAGAATCAATAATCTACTCCGATATTGTCACTCAGACGACAACCACGAGCACACTGAGTTCTGGAGTGGCTATCATGATGTCCCCAACAGCATCAAAGGCTCTCAGTCAATGGGAACCAGTCTCCTCCAGGATCATGACAGCAAGATTCAACTCAAAAGGAAGGAAGGTTACAATCATACAATGCCACACTACGCACCTACAAATAATGCAGAGCAAGAGAAAAAGGAGGAATTCTACAGACAACTGAAATCAACACTGGACAAGACGTCAGTTGGCGATATCAAAATTCTAATGGGGCGACATGAATGCCAAAGTGGGAGGGGAAAACACAGGAAGAGAACTAACCATGGGTCGAGAAGCACTAGGTGAGGTGATGAACGAGAATGAAGAATTGTTTGCAGAATTCTGTGTATTCAACGATTTGGTGATTGGAGGTGAGACAGTGTGTTCAAGCACAAGGATATCCACAAAGTGACATGGATTTCACTAGATGGACACACTAAAATTCAGATCGACTTTATCTCAATCTGAAGAAAATGGAGACACAGTCAGTCTACTTGACACAAGGTCAAGAAGAGGAGCAGATGTAGGTTCAGACCACTATCTAGTGCAAGGAACCTTCTAAATCAAGTTAAAAGCCTTCAAGGAAGCTGGTGATAGACCTCAATTCAAGTAGAAGCCCAATGTTCCACTAGGAACCGAAGGGACTAATAATGATAATAATATACTCTCAGTTTGTAAAAAAGAAACCATATCATACTTCATTGTATACAAAACATCTACTTACCACATACAGCTATAGCTAATCTTGGACCTAAATCACGTATTGGATTAATAGAAGTACCAGCATTCATTGATAAGGCACCAATTCGACCAGCTGTAAAAATTGCCATATATATTGATCGATAAATTTTATGCATATCATAATTTCTATTATCATTTAATGATAAAATAAATACTGTTGTAATCATAGTCAAAATAAATCGATCAAAAAAACATATATAATGTGATGCAGATGGTACTAATATAAATAATTCAATAATAGTTGAATTCAATTGATTATTAGACTGTGAAAAATTATTGAAAATATTTTCATAATAAATAATAAATAAGATTAGAGTAGAGAAAAATGAACCAATCAATTGGACTACAGTTAATGGTAATACATAATGATATGATAGTTTACCAATCAATGCAAATGATAATGTCATAGCTGGATTCATTAAACCATAGCTTAAAATACTAGAAATCATTTGAGATAGTATAAATGCTATTGACCATCCAGTAGAAATTGTTAAATACCTGTTATTATTATGATTATCAAGATGATCATTTTTACAACGTTGTACAACATTTTGAATCATAATGCCAAGACCAATTGTCATTAAAATAAATGTTCCTAAGAATTCACCAAGACAAGTATAGAATAAAGGTTTATCAATGAAATTAAAATTTTCTCTAATTTTATACATCATTTTTATATAATTTTCTTGATAGTTAATTTTAATCATTAGTAAACTAAATGGAAAAAAATTCTTGTCTCTATGACTAGATATTCACTAAAATATGATTAACTATTATAAAAAGTATGCTTCATTGTGATTGGTCAATATGCTTGATATCAATCTTGTCCAGACAACCAATAAGATTACAGTAAGTTTTTTTAACATCATGGCCTTTTTTTTTGTATGTCAAGGTCAAATTTAAAATGTTGGATTATAAAAGTCTCAGAAAAGCCCATTATCTTGATATACAGCTTGTGTAAAGTTTTCAACTGTTACACCTGTATTGTTGAGGACTGGTAGGATGGGACTAACTCCTTAGTAGTGGACACTCATGATTCTCTTCCACCAGGGGTCGAAGTAAAGACGTTCAAGTTACCATTGAGTTACTGGGTCTGTTAGAGATACAGTGTAACGATCCACTGAAATTCTTTATTTACCATCCATTTGACTTCCATCTAATTGGCTCCATATGTTATAGCTTTCATTAAAACTTCAAGATTTTCATCTTGATTACACATCTAGTTCATGAGAAGATTGAAATAGTCTAACAGACTGTAATTTTTTAAGCCTTGTCTGAAAACGTTTAACTTCTTCGTTACCCAATGAGATAGCTTGTGACCAGTCTATTTGTTTTCACCTTGCTTAAAGGGGATATTTAACCAAATCAGTGGTTTGAGGGGATTGATCAGTTTGAAAATAGTTGCCACTAGTTCTAGACCGGTTAAGAACCTGTGAGAAATTAACAGCTGGTTCATCCTAGTAATGAACTCCTCAATAGTACGCATCTATGACTTCCCCTTGGAATATATAATTTGTTGGTATTTTTCTGTTTGAATTTAGAGACCGGAAGAATAAACTGAGTCGGTAGAAGGTGATTCCAAGAAGTATGATTTTCATCTCAAGATCTAAATGAAATTTGGAATGAACTAGTGATAAGAACGAATCGGTAGACGAGTCGAATTTTGAAGGTCTATAAAGGTATTCAAGTACTCATCTCCTTCTCATACCGGTGTTTAACGCATAGAGATGAGTTCTGGTAAAGATTTTTGCTTAGTAGAGAGAAAAGCTTGCTATCTCAACGTTACCTGGAATATCTCAGTGGATTTTACCACATTCACTGGTTAAGCTAACTTCAGATTACACTGATAGTCATCAAATTCATTTCGTCAGATGGGAAATCTTGTTATAACTGAGTCATTATGATCAACCATTATCTATGCGACAGCTCAAATTGAATCACCGGTTCGAAGGTGATATTCTAATGGCTGGTCATTCAAATGTTGTTCCATACCACAACTTCTTTACATAACCTCATTAAATGTTAATTAATGGTAAGCTACTCAATAAATTGTTATGAAGAAAACTAAAGCTGATCTTTCTGCAACTTTATTTTACATCTGTTAATTTGATATATAACGCACACCATGTGATACAGTATTATTTACTTGATAACGACATTTCCATCATATATTATCATTGCTCATAATCATCATACCACACTCATCACACTCAACTTCCGACGTCTGATCTTTATAGTCCTGTCATCATTGGTAGTAAACATTCCTATTACATCAGTAGAGTGTTGGTTGATTCAATGAACAGAGATTCACTAATCAATCTCTCTCACTCTCTGTTCACCTAATTATATTCGAGTTAAGTACCGTGGTTCTATCCCACCCACCCTATAGTGTTTGTTTGTGTGTGTGTGTGTGTGGTTGTGTGCACGTGTGCATGCATTGCAATAGACGACTTACTTTCTACATTATTCATCTTATCCTGCTCTGTCGGTGGTTTGCATACTGTTCACCGTCTACAGGAAACCAACATAATTTAACAGGTATCTAGACCTCAAGTCATCCCATCCAATGTCAGTCAGTGAAGTCAGGTACAGTCTAATGTCTAAATATAGTAGAGCTGGAAAACTCACCAGTCAGTCGAACGATGTTTCCAGCATAAATTATCACTGGTCATAATCATCATATTACAGTGATCACACGACTTTGAACAGTCGACTTTTATACTCCTGTCACCCACTTTATATTTTTTGTTTCTGTTGGTGGTAAAGCTTTCCATATGTCTGATATACGCATGGCATCATCATTCCTGCTACATGTGTCGGGTCTCTCCACCTTTTTGTGTTGTTCCACTTCAGTACAGTAGTTTTCTCCCAATCTATTGTGTTGTGGTATGTCGTTAATCCATTCATTACAATAACTGAGTTACTTTCTAGATGATTGATCTTTTATTCTCGTCTGTAGTTCAGCATTCAACTAAGTTCTTATGTTCAGCTAAGCTAAGCGATTGCAATTGGCCAGTCATTCTATGGAATTTGATAGATTAGATTATTCTACTGAATTGGTTCTATCGGATCCTTAAGGCAGTCGACAAAGCTTATCTCTAAGTGAGTTTGTAGGTTTGAACGCCACCCTAATTTCAGCCTTGTTGAGAATCTTACGTAAAGTTTCTGAGATACCTTCGTTGTGTAGGGTAGCGCTATCGGGGCTCTGTACTTCTTTCTATTCATCTTGTCTATATTTTTTTTTATATCTTCGTGAAAAATCTGTTAGTAATTATTAACATTATAACTTATTGATGAGGACAGTAAACTTTCGTCCTGTTGGTTACAAGTTTGTAAACTACATTTACACATAGAAGTCTGCGCAAGCAAATGGTAGTCGCCTAACCCTTTACTCGACAGATTTCCTTCATTATTATTATTATTATTAGTCCCTTGGGCTCCTAGTGGAACATAGGGCTTCAGTAGCACGTCTCCAGTACATTCTACCCTCTGAAATCTTCTCAACCTGGCTCCACGACAGCCCACAACCTCTCATATCCTCCTCGCACGATCTCCTCCATATCACCATCGCCACCGACGCCCAACTCGTCGCTTCCCATGGGGATTCCACTCGAGCAACTGGCCTGACGCGTGATGTCCCCAGTCGGCCTTCTCAGTCCATGCCCAATCGATCTCCACTTCCTCCTGCATATTTGTTGCGTGATAGGTTCTTGGTTGGTTCGTTCCAAGAGCTTCTTGTTGCTTATTCTTTCTCGCCATCTCATCTGATCTTCAGTGAGGAGCCAGAGTAGGCAGCAGTTGTTGATGAATGTCTGTAGTTTATTGGAAATCCCTTTCGTAACGTGCCAAGTCTCTGAACCATACAGAAGAACTGACTTGACTGAACTGCTGTTGAAAATCCGTATCTTGTTCCGTGTGATGAGTGCAGAAGATCTCCACACTGGTTTCAGGCTAATGAACGCCTGTCTTGCTGTCTTTCCGATTCTGACTTTCACATCCTCGTCTGTGCCTGTGACGCCTGTAGTTGAAACAGTGCTTCGTAGATAGGTGAAGGAGGTTACTTCCTTTAAGTTTTTGCCGTTGATGGTGATTGGAGTTTGTTGTTGGTGCGGTATCTTCATCACCTCTATCTTCTCTATATTCACTTGAAGTCCCGTCTTCGCTGCCCTGCCTCTTCTGTCAACTTGTTAGTTTTCACCTGTAGATCTTCAAGTTTATGTGACATAAGGCACAGATTTCCTTCATAGCATACTAAACTACATGAGTTCTTGTACAACTACAGTTACACATATGATGGTTGTAATGATGAAATAGCTGAACGAAAATGATATATGAAGTTAAACCAACGTCAATATTTCTTGAAAACTCTCGAAACTTCACCTATACCTGTTGTTGTTACTGTTACCCTAAAAGATTCTAAAATCTTATATGATCTACATCAGTTTACTTGAGAAAACATGAAGTCCTCATCGCTGACAGGTTTTGTTACCAAGGTCAACTAACCTATTAGACAGACAGTATAATTTCAGGTATAATGTTTCAAAAATGAAGGATAAAACAATTATTTTGTTGATATTCGTCCTTGTATACACACTGTACGTGTGTGTATGTGTGTGGTACCAAGAAGGGGGTAACCCAAACACTTGTGTGTATTACTGAGAGGCGGGTAATCCAAACATGTATGCATGTGTGTGTGTGTGTGTGTGTGTGTGTAAATGTGCTTTTGTCAACTAATCAGCCTTAAAAAGCAATGATACAGAAATCCAACACATGTCAACTAAACTATCAATCATCCATTGTGTCACCAATATCTTAAGTAAACTTTTCACTTGTGTAAACAGACTTGCTATTCCTTGAAAACAATGATGACATATTTTTGTTTTACTGCATTAAAACTGTAAAATTATTGATTTGAATGGTGTAAACAAACCATTGAAAATTGAATGTAACCGTTTAAAATAATGATTGTCAGTGTAGACAGAATAGATTACAGTTTGAAGATAACTTTATCTACTTGACTTTAAGATGAGATATCTGGAAGTTTTTATGAGAGATTATGATCAGTTGGATATGAGAACTATTACTCTATGATGACATTGAACAGAGATATGAACTATTGGCCATAGAATCTCAGGATAATAGATTGGATCCATGATGGTTTCATTGATATGCATTCCTGGTTCCTCAACTGATTGATGTCAGTCAATGATGAATACGAACCTGACATCAATCTTAACAAACGTTAAAAGTGAACAACTGAAATGTTTAACTAATTTATAAAATCTACATTTGATTGAAACCTTGTCTGGTTAACTAATTTACTAGTTACTAGCCAGTTCTAAGCCCGGGTAAACAGGGAAGGTTAGGCATACGGCTAGCAACCTTACCCCGTAGAACTAATTCATTCTCTAAGGAAACTACAAAGCGGAGAGAAAACAGTACAATGTAGGCGTGCTACTGAAGCCCTTTGTTCCACTAGGAACCCAAGGGGAAATAATATTTGATTGATGAATGGTTGAAGTAAGTGAGTCGATAGAATGTTAAAAAGTTAAGTTTCAGGTTCATCTTCATTCTTGATTTCATATTCGCTGTAAGATTCAGGAGATACTTTTCTTAAGCAGTTCAAAGTGCTAGTTAATCACCGATATACGGTTATTATTTACATTCAGCGGTTCCATTTGAGTCTGTTTATTAGAAAGATCACGCATAGTCAACGAACAGTATCATTTACTGAATAACGTAC